CACAATTAACGATAATAACAATAAAATGCGAGAAATAAAATAAAGATTGTTGCCGATAGTAGAGTTGGTTATCATTGGGCGGATTAGACTAAATCTGTTACAAATCTCGGAAAAATATCAGGTATCCTTCGTGATAACGAGTGTCTGGGTATATATCCAACATTTTTTCATTAAGATGTACACAAACTTCTTTGTGTATGCCTCATCCTACGCACGGGCAACATTCGCTGCTCAACGGTATTCCATTATAAAATATACGCGGGGTAATTGAATTGATTATCGCAAAACTGCTATTTCCAAGAGCTAGAAGCATAATTCACGAAAATCGATCGTTCATTTGATATAAGCCTCGATGACCGTTTCAATCCGGGGCGTGAACTTCGCGCAAGTTCTCTTCGAAGCTTTCCTTTGCCTTGTCGATATCTCGAGCACATGAATACACCTGGCCATGTTGTGACATCTGGAAAAAAAATTTACGTTATTCGTTTTACAACGTTTTTACAATTTTTCTCCAAGTGTAATCTAACCATTTTTTCTCCCGTACCAATTCCAATTTTTACACTGTTATTACTATTGACTCATCGTTCGAGAATCTGCTATCATGCCTTCCAGTATTAGGTGTTCTGTTATGTATATAAACAGCAGCCTATGTCGTTACGATTATTTCGTATCGACATGAGGACTTTAGTTACTGAATATTCCTCTTTTATATATATATACAAACGTTTCTCTTTTCACTGTCTCACTATAGCTACAAAACGATTTCTTTTTATGTGTCGTTAAGGCATCTTTTTTGCTGCACTACCTATGGCTGTTTGGTTTGTCATGTAGTTTACCTTTATCGTGCTCCCATGTAACTTTTCACTGTATTGTTGACCCGGGTCAGCAAATCTTAATTTTCATTTGCTGACCCGGAGATTTAGGTTATTCAAAAACGTTACGCGGAACCGATGTTCTCAAGGAATGCGAAAGCCCTTTTTGGAGCTGGTTACATACAATGGCACTCGATATCGAAGCGGAAGACGGGAACATCGTGCTTCTGCAAGTGCTTCAACTGTGCATTTTTTATGTAGAGCCCGTTTTCACAGTAAGATAGATATTTTACAAATAACTATTATTTATTGAAAGAAGTACCTAAAGACGTAACTTGTTTCAGTCTTTGAATAACAGAACTGATGTTCCTATATGCTATTTTCACTAAAAGGTTTTGACGTCACAGAAAAAAAAAATCACAGAAATCATCCGACCTTTTTTCGGTTGATGCATAGGTTGTCACTATCTTTATCTATGGTCTTTTCTCGAAATTATTGTTTGCCAAGTGGGTTGACCTACTAACCCGTTATTCTGGGTTTATACTTTGACATTGTAGGCATAAAAGGCAAAAAAAGCGTAATAATATCGAACAGCAAATCAATACTTGTTGAAAACGATTAATAAAATGGGCTATAAAACTGATTTAAAGAAAAAAAAAACAGTGCGATTTATTGCAAAAACCTGAGGACAGCTTTGGGTATCCTATATCTATTGTGTGTTCACAAGCTTTAAACACTTCTTCCTTCTCGCCTATTATTAATTCTTTTTATGGGGGCTTTCAATCGAATTCGACCCCCTCGATATCGAAATGTTTTTTTATCTTATGAAATGTTAAATGGGAACATTCATTTCTAAATCGTAATTCCAGCTAAAATTTTGCGATCTGGGCAAAACAGACTTGAGCGCTAGTAAGTAAAATGTTCCAGACAGGAATATATATACTGTGATTCTAATTTTTGGTACCTGTAACAATTTGTTCAGAACATGATTTCTACTATAAGATAAAGGCAAATCTCTCGCCTTGCTTTTCGTTCTGTACCAGATTCCGAAAATCACGACGCCATTTCGAATTTCTTCTCTCGTGAGCAAACTGTCGCAGAAATGGCTGAAAGAATTAGTTACTGGGAATTTTAGATTTCGCCGGCTAATATAAAATGTTTATTCAGTAACAGTCCCAATAAGCTTTAGATTTGACCAGTTTACGCGGGCGTTCCTTTTTGATGGGATGCACCCCAGTTGTTAACTCAGCTTCGGGGGAAAATTGTCGAGAACCCTAATACGATATATTTTAGAAGCTTATTGGAGCTCGGTTAGCCGTTACACAAGTGATGCGTTTCTGTGCGGCTGGTAATCTTTTAAGAGGATCGTGCTAGATTAACTAAAAGATAAAGCAAGTAAAAACCTTGCAGCGTGTCTAATTCATTCGGTAAGGAAACGTTTCGAACGTTTTCTTTTACACTGAACAGTCATTTTTAGTACACAGTAGCGTCTATTTATAAAATAAAACGCTTGAATCCTAAAGCCTATGAGTCAACAGTGCATGAAAGCAAATGCTCTATATTGCAATTCTTGCGAGAAAATGTACTCCGTTAACGTTTGGGGCTAAATATGTATGATTCGGTAGTTCCTGATTGTTGACTCTTGTTGTTATTGTTTGCTACTTGTTGACAATTATTATGGTACTCGTACGATGCCGCTGTGTCTCTTTCACGCGACTGGTGGGGTGCGTTCGTTGTAACAGGTACCTCGCTTGAAACTGCGCTGCGTGGCGGCCGGGCCTCGCATGGAGCATGAACGACTTGTCTCCGAAGATGTATCTCGCCACGAAACGCAGGAACTCGGTAGGGACGGCTGCAGTCCAACGTTTCGCACCTTGGAAATCGTTGAGCGAATACTCGAAAAGGAGGTACGAACGTTATAAAATGTTACGCCATCAAATCTATGTATTCTATCAAAGCGTCTAAGATTATATAGACTCAAACAGAGGCGCTCTGCTATATTATTGGATGATACTTTAAGACTCTTCGCACGTGTTATCAAAAAATTAACACTTTGTTAGTTAAATCGCCGCCAAAATATCTCTGAAGCATAATATATTGTACCTATCGAGTAATAATATATAGTAAGACATAATATAGTGCCTACCGAGACAGCGGGGTCTGATAATGTAGAGAATTTTTCTTCTGAAAATTGAATAGCAAAAGGTGGTCATTTTTACCGGAAAATTAAGGAAATTGCAAAAAATATATTGAACATTGAATAATTAGAATGTAAATATGAGAGGACGCATTTTGAATTTCGATAAATGTGCTCGATCTTCTTCTACTTTCTTCAACATATTTCCCTTGTCTTCACTTTCCGCAAAAGATCAGATTCATCCTATCCCTTCACTTTAAACAGGGTGTTTTCAAGTTATTTCTCTAATGTTATGTTATTCGAGTCTGTTTGGCAATGTTTATCGTTCCTTCTAAGTTTTTAGAAATTTTCCTAAGTTTCTTTTTTATTTCGTTCAAATTCTCGTCACTTTCTTGAGTCAGAAAACGAGATAATATTGAGAACGAAATTAGCTAATATAATAAAAACGCAATGCCCTTGTAAAATGCCAGCCCTATCGAATATCTTTTCCTAAAGTTTATTGTGGGAACAGTCTCTATATAACCGACATCGTCAAGACCTGTACCCCGTAGCCAATAAAGACCCAAGTGCGTAGGTATTGGCCCACGATCTAGAAACCAAGGAGCTGAACAGATCTTTAGAAAGGCTAGAAACGTTTGACTCTTAGTTTAAATCTTCGGATGGAAACGTCGTATTGCAAAACTTTTATTTACAGCCAGGTATAGCCTCTCCGCAAACCATGTTAGGCAGTCTGTTATCACGAATTTATTATAATTTGTTTGTACTAAGCCGCATCTATCCGGATATTTATCACACTACGTGCACGCTGTGTATTGAGAACATATCTTTGAATTTCATTGACCTTTACGTTTGTCTGTTTGTTTTTTTTGTATATATTGTATTGGTCATATATATAATATCTGTCGGAGATCCTTTTTACTATGACCACATATTTTCTATCAGCTATTTAGCACATCATCAATCCCTCGTTGGACAACCCCTGGAAAGATATTCGACGGTTGAATCTGCCACGTGGCGATACTGCCCTAGGGCTAACTATTGCGTTAATTAAGACGTTCAAGAGAAATTCTACAAGAAAGCAATATCCTTCTCATAAGTTAATCGTCCCAATTTCTCAAGTTCCTAGAATGACTGACCTATAAATACTTGAAGCTAAAACGGAAAAAGTACTCCAGCGGAGTATAGATAATTCTAGGTAGAGAAATTGCTAGTAAGTCGTTTAGTACAAAGAGATATGTTCAATATACTATGCGCAATAGCCTACGTAAAAGGCGTTTTCCGCTTTTCTAGAAAGAAACGGATTTCGAAGGCTGTAGACCTTGTCGTGCGCTGACGTTTCGATTATGTTTTTGCTCAATCTAAAACGCAAAGGGAAAAATGTACAGAATGTAAAAGAAGGATACAAATATCGTGTTTTTTTTTTTAAATTTGCAATTTTTAGAAAAAAAAAAGCCGTCTAAATGTCTCTTCGAGTTTTGCAACTCTAGGTGGAAATCCCTGATTGAATGTACCCACAATAAGTGTAGCCTTATTTATGTATAATTGTCGATCGATCTGTTTGGCGTG